TAAATAAATGAACAAAGCAGAGTGCATGGGAAACAGCAAGCAGAAAGTGAGGGGGGCATGGGAGAGAGATCTGATCCAGTTCTTATTTGAAGGCAAACCTACCTATTTCAAGTGAATTTACCTAATTTGAACTTTTAAAAAGAATATGGGAATTGAAACACAGCCAAGGTTCAAAATTCGCACTTCTCAGAATTTTGCAGTGTGATTCTCCAGCCAGATGATGTGCACCAAAATGCACATGTGAGTGTAAAGCATGGTTTAAAATGCACATATTAAGGAAAATCACGTGCAAAAGTGCATAATATTAGGGAAAACTGCATTGCCATAATTTGCATTAGAGAAAATCAGTACTAGAGTTGCAAATTTTGCAATAGGAGGCAAAAAGGTTTCTTGCCTTTGTGGGCCACCCCAGCCCACGAAGCAACAAGTGGCAAATGAGACACCTGGCTCCAAGTATTGCAGCTCATGGAAAGAAAAAGGCCATGGTTGAAGCAGTGGTAGCTGTTCTAGGAGATGCCAATGAGCTTGGTTCATGTCAGACAAGGTTCATGCTGTACAACTGCTTCAAGGCATGCTTGTCACATGCTGCCAGGCTGAGCAGCAGGCAGCAGCTGTGCGCCTTCTCCCACCTTTGGCAGGTGGAGCAAGGAGTGAGAGTAGGATGGGCCTGAGTGCCCATTCGCTCACTTGCCAGCAGTCACAAGGTTAGCATGGGACAGAAAGAGGCTGATAACCACCAGAGATTCAGATGGAGGGAGGCAGCCTGAGCCACAATCACTCGCTGGGAACATTTGGCTGGCATGTCTTAGTCTCTGCTTCTGACAGTGGCTCCTCCTCTTCCCTCGGTAGTGCAACTGTTTTCCCAAAGTTGCCTGAGTGTGGGAGGTAGTGGCAAAGGGTTAGAAACTGTGGAGCTATTAGAGCTGGAAAAAGCATGGGCGCCAGAGGCCTGCAGAAGCCATCACAGTTGCCTCCTCCTTCTCCTCATTGCTGCAGTATTTCCTGGACCATTAGCAGCAGCAGCAGCAGCTGCCCCACACAGTGTCTCCTCTTCCTCACTCTCATACATTTCTCCTCTCTTCTTTTTCCTATGTCGCATAATCTAAGCTCAGGGCAGGATGCTGTTTACTGCCTTTCTAACCTGTTCCCTGGAGCATGTACTCTTTTTCACCCCTCCACTCCAGATCCAGGGCTGTAGTCAACACCCATTTCTCATTTTTTCAATCTCCCATTCAATTCTCTACAATTCCACGTCAGTTTACCATCAACCCCCCCAACCCTCATTGTGAAAATTCAGCAGCATTTAAGTGTGAATTCCTTCTAATTGCATGTTTTATTGTACTAGCCCTGGAATTTTATGAGTTGGTGGTATATGAAAGTAAAATGGCAGGAGATGGGTCTCCAAGAAGAAGAAGAAGAAGAAGAGTTTGGATTTGATATCCCGCCTTTCACTCCCTTTAAGGAGTCTCAAAGCGGCTAACATTCTCCTTTCCCTTCCTCCCCCACAACAAACACTCTGTGAGGTGAGTGGGGCTGAGAGACTTCAGAGAAGTGTGACTGGCCCAAGGTCACCCAGCAGCTGCATGTGGAGGAGCGGAGACGCAAACCCAGTTCCCCAGATTAGGAGTCTACCGCTCTTAACCACTACACCACCAAGACTCAGAATTTCCCAGCTTTGCTATCCGAGGTGGTTTCAACTGCTGATGCTTGGCCTTCCTTCCTGATGTTCACCACCACTGTTTTAAAAACAACTTTGCAGTCTTTTAAAAAACTTCTGTGTGCACCATTGAGGAGGGAGTAGGTAAACATGGACCTTGATAAACAATAAGAAGAGTTACCCAGCATGATATGATTATAATAAACACAGAGGTGGAGAGGAGCAGCAGTGGAGGCAAGGAGAAAAATAGGTGAAGCTTGCCAATCCAAGTAGAAGATGGTCCGTGATGTGATCCTGGTAGGTGATGATCTGAGATGCGATCCGATGTGCAGAGAAAGAGAGGCTGAAAGGCCAGGCAGGCCTGAATATATCCTGGCCCTGCGTGGGGGCCAAGCAATGCCATTGGGAGGTTGGTCCCAGGGAAACGCCCTCAAATTCCTGCCACCTTTGGCCAATTTGGTGGCAGGCAGGTGATCCAGCCTGCCATTTACCAGTTGTGCCTCCAGGCCCCCAGGACCCACCCCCCAAAAATAACTTCACTCAGACACATATTTTAGTTTTAAGTTTTTGGGCAAATTTTGGCCACAACTTTATTGAATTACAATCACATGAGCGGTATTGGCTTAGGCATTGACTCCCGACTAGAACTGACTCCACCTCTCTGGGTAGTAGTCCAATGGGGTAAACCAAACAAGGGAGGAACGTTGATACGGACCAACCGAAGCTCACCGCGCGGTTCCTGTGGTCCTGGCATGACCCTAGCCCCTCAAGTGGGCTTTGGACGAGATCCAGGACCCCCAGAATCCTTTAATGGAATACCCAGTTCCTGGAGGGGCAGTTGATGGCCGCACCTCCCTTCCCCACAATCCAACTGAGCCAATGCCTAACCACCACCTTACAAGTTGTGATGATAGCTAAGGGGTAGGCAAAAACCAAGTGGCTAGAGCCAATTTGCCAAATGGAAAAAAATCCTACCCTGCCCCTGTTCCAAAACAGGCGACCCAAACCAAAGCAAGGCCAAGCGACACTACCTAATTCTAGGGAGGGAGGGCGGGCAGCACGACGCAAGTGCCCCTACTTGTGTCACGCTGCTGGATTTAAAGCCCTTGGGATCACACCACCCTCAGGGGATTGGCTTAAACATCCTGACGTGATCCCAGGGCTATGGCCAGGGTTGTTAGCTACTCCCCCACTAATTAACCCTATGAGGGAAAGTCCCAGGGCCCACACACAACCAGAACCCACTAATAGGAGGATACCTTTTCACAGGGAAACCCAGGGCCCACCCGCAAAGCCGCCTGCCCGAGAAGGACAAACAGACTTATAATAAACACAGGTGTTGCTAAACGTGTTAGTACATGGGAACAAGCAAGCTGCCTTCTACCAAATCTGACCATTGGTCCCTCTAGCATAATATACTCTACGCTGATTGGCAGTGGCTCTCTAGGGTTTCAATCCGGATGTCTTTTCCAAGCATATCTGGAGATGCTGGGATTGAATCCAAGATGTACCACATGCAAAACAGAGGCTCAGCCACTGAGCTATATCTCTTTCCTTTGTGTATTCTGCTGCACAGACATATTTCTGTTCAATAGGAACTATGGGGATGTCTGCAGAAAATTAATTTGAATAAACAACTGTGTTGTGAGACTGTCCATTTTATCTCCTTTCTGTTTAGGGGCTTTGGGGATTCTTCTTCTTTCTTTTCAGGGCAGCCATGTATGAACTGGAGGTCCTTGCTGCTCCATCGCCTTGCCATCATTACCTGCCTTGCTAGCGGTCTGAAATTATAACAGCACTGCAGTTTTCACCTCTGCTAGCTCCACTCAGCAGATTGTGAGGACTCATCATGCACTGTTTCACACTTCAGCTGTTATCTCCATTGCAAATCCAGAACACAAGAGGCTCAAGTAAAGCTAAACCAAAAAACAATTCTTCTTGTTTGTTTTAAAGGCATTCTGTGTACCTAAAACAATTAATTGCAAAGGACAGTACCCATCTCACCTTCAAAATTATTAGTGCATTTTTATGAGCCCTATTCCACATCATTGCTGTCAATGTGCATAGTGCTTCATGCAGTAATAAAGGGGTGGGGGTGGGATATTATTACTGAAGTCACAGGGCAGTCCAAAATATCATGACAGTGTCATGACAGTTGGAAAAGGCTATCCCAGGGGAGTGGGGAAGGTTGCAGAATAGTATTGCTTGAGCAATTGGACTTTTGCAAATTTCATGATGAACGGACGTGATCCACACCTGCTAGATTAGTGTGAGAATCCACCAGGCTTTGTACAATAAAGATCTTGCTTCAAAAAGCATATAAGAGCACTTTTCAACACAAGGGAGAATACAGTTAAACATGCTAGCCCTTTTCAGAGTAGGCCCACTGTAGTTAATGGACTTAGCTTAGGTTCATTAATTTCAGTGAGTCTAATATGAGTAGAATTTAGCTGGATACACCCCAAAGTTGTATTTTCAATGAAAATATTAGGAGCATGTTTCCTTCCCTTCCCCCAAAGAAAATACAAAAATATGTATTTCAATCTATTATTTTTTTTGCAGGGATTTAAAAACAACAAGCAATAACATGGATGCAGGATAGATGGAAGACAAGTGTCTCTGAAAATTTTTACACATCACCTGGGAAGACAGGAGAACTAATGGCAATGTACTAGAAGAAGGAAAGATCACCAGTGTTGAAGCAATAATGATGATGATGATGATGATGATGATGATGATGGTGATGTATTTATACCCCATCCATCTGGCTGGGCTTCCCCAGCCATTCTGGGCGGCTTCCAACAAAATATTAAAATACTGTAATCTTCAACAGATTCTTCAATATCAACTTCATCGGACTGGTCATGTTGTTTGGATGCCTGATTATCATATTCCAAAGCAACTACTCTATTCCGAGCTTAAAAATGCTAAGCGTAATGCTGGTGGTCAACAAAGGCATTTCAAAGACTCTCTCAAGGCAAATCTAAAAAAATGTAATATAAACACCAACAACTGGGAAACACTGGCCTGCGAGTGCTCCAATTGGAGAACAGCCTTTACCAAGGGTGTCATGGACTTTGAAGACTCTTGAGCTCAGGACGAAAGGAGGAAATGCGCTAAGAGGAAGGCATGGCTGGCAAACCTTCATCATGATCCACTCCCACCTGGAAACATATGTCCCCACTGTGGAAGGACGTGTGGAACCAGAATTGGCCTCCACAGTCACTTACGGACTCACTGTTAAGACCATGTTTATGGAAAGCAATCTTACTCAGCTACAAATGATCGCCAAAGAAGAAGAAGAAGAAGAAGAAGAAGAAGAAGAAGAAGAAGAAGAAGAAGAAGACCATAGCTCAGTGGCAGAGCGCATGCATCGCATGCAGAAGGTCCCTGGTTCAATCCCTGGAATGTCTAGGTAGGTCTACAAAATATTTCATGTCTGAAATCCTGGAGAGCTGCTGCAAGTCAGGTAGACAGCACTGAGTTACCTGGACAAATGGTTTCACTTGGTTCAAGGCAGCTTCTTATGCCGCAATGTTCCTATGAATAAGCTCACACAGTGGGCAGAAAAGGTGGAGGAGGACAAATGAAGACGACGACTCTAGCATGACTGCCTCTTTCCCTGGAGGATCAACTACCAGCAACTGCCCTTGGTAGGAGGTAGGAAAATATCAGAAGCTTGCTTCTGTTGCAACTGGACTGCCTCCCCCCTCAAGCCATCCACCATAAGCTACCCTCTGGGAAGGATCTTGATTACTTACCAGATGTAGATATTGACTATTTATATTGCTGTAGTTGTTAAAAAAACCTGTTGACCTGACTTGTAAACCACTTTGGAAAGATTTATATTTGTATCCTGAATGGCAGGATATAAATCGAAACAAGCTAACTTGTTTGCAATGAAACACGCCCTGAAAATCGTTGATTCATCCATCCCTCTTTTGGGTGGTGATGGAAATAGGAACTGGGCAGAGAGCTGAAAGGTGCAATCTACTCAATACTGTATAGTACAGGGGCTCCTTCAGCAACTCTTTGCTTCTAAAGTATCTGCTTCACATGCAAAAAGGCCAAGGTTCAATCTCCAGCGTGCCCAGGAAGGGCTGGAAATGTTCCCTGCCTGAAACCCTGAAGAGTGGTAGCCGGTCAGAATGCACAGTCCTGAACTAGATGCACTTTCGATGGTCTGACTCATGAGTGTAGAAATTGGGTTCAGTGAGACTTACTCTGAAGCATGTGACCATAGGATTGCAGCAAAAATCGACTGAATGTCAAACTTCACATTCAAATTGTGACATGAGATTTCAGATTCAAAATCTTGCACTGCAAAATAATTGGGATGTTACATACAGTTGGTCTCAGAGTGGGATCCAATTTCAAACTTTTCATAAATGCCCTTTCAATCTTCTTGGCGCTCCTAAATATCCAAATTTTGCAATTTGTTGATGAAAACTGTGGTTATCAGGACTTTAAAAGCCCTGTCTAGCAATGTCAAAGAACGGGAAATTGCCAGCTCCCTTACATTACCCCTTCCTGTTCCTATGCTAGGAATCATATTAAAAACACTGAATAAATAGAGGAATTTATTTAAAAGCTTGTTTGCAGCATTTCATTTCAAAAACAACAACCCAACAACAACATTGTTTCTTGACAGCTGAATAGCAGGGAAAAGGTATCATTTAAACATTCCCCCCCCCCAAAAAAAATCCAGTAATTTAAAAACATTTTGATGGAACTTTGGCATCTCAGAAGCACATATAAACATTTGAATCATTGGATATAACATTACACACGCACACGCACACACACACACACACACACACACACATATGTACACACACACATTTCACATTTAAATGTAAAGATACCAGTCGCAGCATTCCAGTCCCATGTGTAATGATTTTGGCAAATATTTGGCATTAAGGTGCTGCGGGTTTTTGTTTTTTAAAAATGTGCTCCTGCTCTGCCAGTGGTTTGCTCTGCCTTGTTGATGGCACATTATTCAGTAAAAAAAAAGTGCAAACAGAAATTTGGCTCTCCTGCACAGCTATCTTCCTCTTCACAATACTTGGAAACTCTTGTCCTTTCTTTGCTCGTAATAGTGTTATCTGGCAAAACTAAGGCGCTGTGGCACACTCCTGTACTGTATATTGTGCTGAAACACTTTGCAGAGCCTTTATTAAAGTTCAGACAGTCTAGATGGGCAAACTCTGGCATTCTATCCAGCAGTGTTTCCTAGTTTCCTTGCCTACTCTTTGCAGTGGGAGAGTCAATCAACTTGAGCAGGGACAGAGCTTTCATCTGGAAATGGCCCCGCATTGCAGGAGTCACAGAGCAATAAACCAGGCTAGCGAGAAGGAGTAGCGAAACCCTCAGTTTGCAGCTAATGGAAGCAGCACAAGGCAGAGCAGAAAGAAGAAGACAAACAGCCCAAAGTAAATAACAGGTAAACATGAGTGATATGTAGAGCCATGTGGTGCAGGGGGAAAGAAGCACTTGCTGCTTCTTAGGCAAGAAGGAACTTTTCTAAGCAGACTGGCTGAAAGCAATCCAAACTGGGCATCTGGTTGGCTACTGAGAACAAGATGCTGGAATTGATAGGGCATTGTCCTGGTCCAGGGGGCTCTTCTTATGATGTTCTGCTCCCTCCTTTTGTCTATTGTGGATGTCTTGTTAAATTTTGTCTCTATGCGGGACAAAGCAGATGGGACATTAAATGCATCTTTCAATTTTACACAGAGGGGTTGTTAAATGTAGATAGCAGTCTTTGTAGTTGGGGGCTGATTTGGATCACACCCAGTAGGGCGGATGGATTTGACACTTTTCACCTCTGCAGATCCTTCCACTGCTATTTGTATTGGGAGCAAAACATCCACTGGTGAGAATGGGAGCTTTCCTTCTCTTGCAATCAAGCTATTTTTGTCAGGAACACAGCAGGTTCAACTCTCTTCACTGTCTACTGTGATTTTGCTAATTATTGCCACCACCCCCACCACCCCCAGAACTGCTATCTGCATTTTTTAAAACCATGCACTTAATGTTATAGCTAACTAGGTCTTGAGATACTTCACATCCATTCAAAGTTTACCTGGCTATTCATGATATCTAGAGCTGAAATATCTGAGTTGATCTGTGGTGAGTGATGTTTTGGACTGCTCTGTGACTTCGGTAATAATATCCCACGCCACCCCTTTATTAGTGGGTGAATCACTATGCACATTGAAAGTACGGTAATGATGTGGAATTCTTTCCTGGGGTTCTTTCCCAGCCCCATGTGGAGATTCTGGGGATTGCATGAAAGGCATTCTTCTTCTTCTTCTTCTTCTTCTTCTTCTTCTTCTTCTTCTTCTTCTTCTTTAAAATACCGCATTTTTTCGCTCTATAGGACACACTTTTCCCCTCCAAAAATTAAGGGGAAATGTGTGTGCGTTCTATAGAGCGAATGCAGGCTGCACAGCTAAGCCCAAAGCCGGAACAGGGAGATGGAGCACTGCGGAGCGCTCCGTCTCGCTGTTCTAGCTTGGGGTTAGCTGCGCAAAGCCTCTGCAGGGCAGGGGGATGAAAGCAGCGCTTCCCCCCGCCAGCCCCAAAGAGCAGGTTGAAAGGAACCCAAAGCCTCCAGAGCCCAGCGGGAATGCACAGAACGCACCTTGTTTTAGAGGGGGAGAACAAGAAAAAAAAATGTTTCCTGTTCTCCCCCTCCTATGGTCCGGTGCGTCCTATGGTCCGGTGCGTCCTATAGAGCAAAAAATATGGTACCTTTTTATTTTCAAAATTCAAATAACAAGCTAGCATTAAAAAATATACAGCACATGGTATAGAACTGGCTCAAAACAGTCCCCAGAATCCTCCTCCATCCAATTAGATGCAAGACAGCTCATGCTCAGCCTAATAAATCCTTCCACCGAGTGCCATGCATACCTCTTGGTCTCTTGGCCATATAGCTAATAAAGCAGTGCCACATTTCTCCAAAGTCATTTTCCGGTCCTTTAGCCTCTCGAAGCCACTGGCTCATGTTTCTAAAGGAGTGTTGGGAGACTTTGAGGACTCACCGGTCAGGAAACCAGATAAGAACGTGACTGACTCTCAGACGAGATTGCCAATAAGCTCTTGTCTCTAACAATCTGCTGTCACCCTTATATCAGCTGTGGGTTGCATCCAATGCTGTTCCTACTCAGAGTAGCATCTGTATGCATTTTTCCTCAATTCAGTCATAGTATAGTATGGCAGATACAACATTCATTCAGTAATTCCAAGGTTTTCATAAAAGTCACATGCCACCATTCCATAATTATTTGAATGTAGAAGAAAAAAGGGAATGAGAAAACTGCTTGGGCTCATGCTTTCTAGGCACAGGCAAGCACAAGTGTGGACAAGTCCTTTATTTATATGCTTCACAAGCACATCAACATAAAAACAGCACATTAAAAAGGCATAGTGTAGTAAGGATAAACAAGTATCTATTGAAAAAAATGGGAAGGATAACTAAGCCCGCCATCATCGTCATTTTTGGTTAATGGCTTTTGATGTGACTTCATTCTGATGTAAATTCTGACCTATCAATCCACATTTATTTTTCAATAAAATGATGTAAACAATCTCTGTACTTCACTCAGTCACAGTTAAGGGAGGGAGAGTGCTTCCCTCTGATTGATTCGTACATCCTATTGATTTTTCGCAGTTGTATTCTCAAAAATTAATATACAAGATATGCAAGATTATGTTTAACATCTGGAACTTTAACCGTCTTTTTTAGCTATAAAGATTTCAATCCGTCAGAATAACATCCTGGCATTTACAGCAGAGAAGGAAAAAATAACGAACAACATACCTCCTGCCTGGTTTAAATACTTTCAAATTAGAGCTGTTATAATGGATCAACTTAGAGTGAACAACAAACTATGAGACTTGACAGAATTTGAAATAACAGCAGTGAAGGATAAAAAGCATGTATTAGCTAACTATGAAACAGAACCAGAATAAACTATAGAATATATGATTAAGTGGGCTGAATATAGGAGGCTGGAATATCTCACTTCGTGTTTGGGAATGGCTATGCAACAAAGAACATAAATTTTCATTAAATACACCTATCAGAAAGAATTGCTTTAAGATTATGTCAGGAGGCTCTATTACCCAGGATGTAATAAATAAAATAAACAAGAATTATTCAAAGAAAGGCTGGTAATGCCAAAAAGAAGAGGGATATATATATATATATATATATATATATATATATATATTCCTATTTGGTGGCAATGCCTGAAGGGAAGAAATTGAAATGATTAGTATAGAAACTATAGGGATCAGCTACATTTTGGGACCTGTGGGCACATTTGCAAACTGAAGAGAGAGACATAGACACCAGGGGTGGGGTGGACTCATGGAATTTGAACTTCCCAAAACTACACAGCAAC